TAATCGTAATTGTGAGCCAATTCTTTCAGACCATTTTTGGTTTAAAAAAAAACAACAGACTAATTATGCAATGTGAATTGAGAGCAGAAATTTATTTTTTAGTGTATTGTTTTTATACTTTTCCGAAGTCTAGAACATTTTCACGAGTATAATACATTTAGAGAGTACACGCTATTAATGTTGTATAGTAAAATTTATTAAACTGACCACCTATACATCAGGTAAGTAATCTAGCTTGAAAACCTTCTTTTAAGCTTTAGTATAGGACTAGAGAATACTAATGGACATCTTGAAAAAAATTAAGTGATAAAGCATACTAATACGATAAAGTAACTATGTATAACGTTCAATAGACAGAAGACTTCACAGCCACTTAAAAGTGGAATTCATTACGATTCTTTTACCGCTAACTTGTTTGAAATATCTACTTGGAAATGCTCCAGTAAAAATGCAAGTCAGTCAGTAGATCTCAATTTTGTGCATGACTTATTTACAGATAATAGTTTATTCAGTTTGAGGATTTAAAGAAGTTATCTTATACTTTTACTAATCGGTGAAGTGATTGAAGCTGGAAAACATTAGTCATTTAATTCCAACCCAACAGCCAAATAGTGATGTACTCATAGCAAAAATTAGTGCCACTGAACTCAATTTCGCATGACGTCGTAGGAGTAAATTACTCAAGGGTTTTCAATTGAGGGATTTTAGTATATGATTAAAAGTTATTTTAAACTCTATATTGATGAGGTATGTAGAAGGATATACATATACTACTAGAAATATTTCACCACTAAAAGTTTTCAGTTTGTCATGACTAATAAAACTACTGATCTGTATTAATGTTAGTGCTAGAATTTTCTAAGTTTATTACCTGTATCTAATTCTCAAATAATAAGACTGTCATCTCTTAGTTGCTTACGTAATATTTTTATGTGTAACCACTGAAGTATGTATTTTGGCACACTACTGAAATTCACTTCCCACTCATATCAGCGGTAGAAATAAATTAATGTGTTATTTGTGTGACTATAATTTAGAAGTAATTCAGGACAAGAATTTTCGGGGTTCGTCAGCTGAAATAGAGTTACCCTACAATCAGTTAGGTCTACGTATAATTGGAAATCTTATCTTGTGAGTACTCTTCATTTACTCAGACTACATCGTTTCAGTTGTGAATTACACAAGGATAGTTATTGATGGGACAATAGAAAGGAGATCCCAGCAGTATTGGATAATAACATGCAATTATATGACCAACCTCATTACTAGATATCTTAGCAATGCAGCAATCAAATAGTTTCTCGTCAGGAAGTAGCTATTTTATTGTTTCTGAATGTTACTGCTAGTGTGTATCACTTAAAATGAGAATTCTTGTTGAGATATGTAATTCCCAACCTATGCCTTTTTATAAATCAGAATCATCTGTCATAAATATATTCGAAGCACCCAGGTGCTGGCTGAATAATTGACTTCAAGAGGGGAATCATGTTCAGAACGGGAGTAATAATAAATCTCACTCTGTCTCCAACGTCTAAGTATTATATACTTATTCACTCAATTAACACCGCTATCCTCCTTTCGATGAATTCAAATTTCTAAAAAAAACATACTGCTACATATTAAAAAGGTAATCAGGTTGAGATTAGAGGCAGTGCTGAAGTATCCATCCTCTTAGCCTACAGGCAAACAGATATTCAAAATTTCCCCCTTGGAACTGACAAAATAGAGATTGGTAACATCTGCATAAAGGATGATTAAGATTACCGCTTCAGTGGAAGCCTCAAAAGCATCTGAGTTTTGAATGTTCCTCAATTCATAATAAGTCCTATGTAAAAAGAAACCGACGTCCTGTATTTCAACGTTAAGCACCAACAAATCAAATCAAGTTGAAATCATAGTAAACATTTTAAAAGTCCTGAAAGAAATACGTCTGACAAAAGAAACTGACCAATATGCTACTATGAACTAAACAATGGAAAGGAGTAATTTTATGTAACAACTGTAGTCTGGCTATTTTAATCAGTCTCACTTGATGAGGCTAATAAGCTGCTCAACATAATACAGAATTGGGTGTCATTTTGTACTCATCTAACATCTCAGTTGCCTTTGATTCATTCTTATTAGTGTTATAACAAAAACTCGAGGTAAGAGTTAAGAGTGCCGTTTGAGTAGATCGGATTAACACTTACATTTATTGGTTTATAGGGAATAATTGTGGAGATGTGGTTGATTGACTTAAGCACTCAACTTTCATCCTTTAAGTCCAGTGTTAGAATTTCTCTCCACCTATTTCAGCCTAGAAGACTGGCTTTTATCTTCACCCCTCATAGCTCGGTACTAGGCAAGTGAGCTCTAACCAAAAGTGGGAAAAATCAGTATCATTCATTCTGGTCCTGAATTCTGCCAGTGAAGTGTGCACTGTGGTCACCAGGCTAAAAGATACGGTGTCGCATTTCACTAAATACATTTTAGATAATTTGCAATAATCAACAGAAAGCTCTGAATTTACATTTCGTACTTAGTGCTACTTGTTATTAAAGCACATTTGAAGCCTCGAAGAAACCGATGTCCGTTGAAAGTTACACATCCATATCAAGGAGTGTTACCCTGAGAAAACCAACCAGTGAGTCATTTGAGCCATGACTGGTCTTATGTAGAGCTGCGATAAGCTCTAACATAATGCGTTTAGTGAGCCATATCCACAAGACTTATGAATACTATTTTGAAGCCAGTATCTCTGTAGTGCGTTAAGAAATTCTATTCTTTTTTGGGAACTGTCCTAACTGATGTCACTTCCAAACAGAGGAATTAGTTATGTTCCATACAGAAAATTTATTAAGAGCTGCTAAGGCTACTTGATCAATTTCCGCTACTTCAGCCCTCCATTTTACTTTTTACTGGAAGCAGTTTTACTCAGAGAATGTTTTGTTCGTCATGCGAAAATCCCCAGAGACTACCAGCTTATTGGCCAACTAGTATGTAAGAGGTATATCCATCCGTGATATTGAAATATTCACATCCATTTTGCGTAGATTATGGTAATAATTTTGGTGAAAATTGTGATTTCATGGAATATGTTTGTTAAAGCCTTCAAGATCTTTTAAAATTTCCTCACCACAAATCAATTTCTAGAAAGCTATTGAAAGTCAAACTGACTAATTCGCCTCTGTTTGAGATTTTTGAATTGTATCCAGTATCCAGTTGACAAAGTACCTACCTGTCTGCTTTTACTGTCAGTGCAACCGGAGTTTGCTGAATTCCTAAATACTATCAACACAAAATCTCTCTTATATGTGAGTAGTGTATTTTTCAACAGTCTGAAAGCTTCTGCTGAGATTTTAACTCATATACATTTAGACTGTTTTACTTACCAGTGGAAAATAATAGCTTTAAAATTCTTTGTGCAGAGAATGTGATTATTAGCCAATGATCACATATTTCTGAAGTGTACGTGTGGCTACATGAAACTGGCTACCATTTCATTCAGAGTTTGTTATCAATATAACCATTATATCTACAAACTAATAAAATCAGCTGTGTAACATATTGGGGTTTTAAGACAATAAATTAATAAGCAGACAGTTTTTCTAGGGTGTCAAGACAAGAACCAACTTATGGTTATAAAACTGAGTTTGGAAAAGAACTTAAAGATTCCAATTTTTATCATTATTGAGAGGTGCCGTTATTTCTAAAGGATGGGAAAAAGTAATTTATGCCAACTTCAGATACGGATGGCTAAAAAATCAAATAACGACTTTGAATATAAAAATTGTGCTCTGATATTAACTATGAAGAAGAAACTAATAAATAAATCCTGCTCATTTTAAATTAAATAAACGTCATCTGAGAGCATAAATAAAATATTTGAAAATGGGATAACTTCAGTGTAACAGTTATGATTCACCTTGACTAAATTCACTACCAGTCTTCGCATTTAATCTTATAAAACCAACAGTTAGAATGCCAGTCAACTATCAAACAAGTTAGTGGCAATGCATAACAATCCACCAAATCAATAGCTGATAGCTTCTATGAACAGTCTAAAGTGAATACACACAATCCACGGAAATCTTCTTTCAAATGCAACATACAAAGTTTTCCTTCTATTTAGATCGAAATGCAGTTGAAACTTGTTGAATGATGATTACACTGATCAAATTGAATAGTGATTACATTGTGGTCAAATTATTTCAGACTGTTAATATCTCGTAAGGTATTGAGCTAAGTAATTACCATAGCAAATAAAAACACTAATATAGCTGCATAACTACAGGTAATTGTGAATGCCTGTTTGTTTCGGGAATTATTAGAACTTCTTTTAGTTACCTTAACATTATTAGCCTTACATGGTTTCTACTTTCATAAAATACAAGGCTCTTTTTTACTTCTAAAGGTTTCTTTGTAAGGAGAAGAGGTTACGCTGTACAGAATTGTTGATATATCATCATTAGTGTCACAAATATTAAAAGTACTTCTGAACTGTTATTTGGTAGATGATGACTAACAGTGGCATCGGGGATGCGTATTTCATCGAAGCATCCGTACTATGAGTTGGCATATCAATAGTGACTGAACACTGAGGTCTAATATAATCGATCGACGGGAAATACAAAATTAGCTTAAATATCATTGAATTGTGTTGCATTTCTGCGGGTAATCGGGAAATATGGTATACTTTTTTCAGTTAATCAGGATAGTTCATTTACACTCATGCCCTTTATCACGGAAGAATATCACCTGGAGAACCGTAAATAAAAGCCAAGATAAATAATCTCTATCATATCTGTGGATCTTGACTACTAAAAAGGGACATCCCAGAAATTTATTCTTTTTATCTCTCTTTTCCAGTAATCTATGATGGATCATTTAGTTCACTGATGCATTTGAGGCTAATGACATCCAAACTGCCGCTGTTATACACAAAATAATATGAAACTATTGTCATTAGATTATTACCGAACAAAAGTCATAAGTGCAGTTTTTAATAATGATAGTCTTACCTGTTCAATATTTCGATTCTTCTGCAGAACAATTAGGAGGAAGTCGGTATTCCAAATGGCATCAGCAGTTCATCATAGTCCTTCTTAATTATAAATTTCATGAGTAAAAATTGATAATTTAATTTCTGTTTGATGTGGTTTTATTTCAGAATACAAATGAATACTTCTTTTCTAAGGAAAAAGTCTATGGACATGGATAGTATGATCCTCATTTGAAGTACAGTGAGTTTTGATGATTAATTGACTGGTGAATCGACTGTGTAGTATGTCAAAATCCAGGTAGAATGAATAAATACACATAATACTTTAGATATACATCTTATATCCTTTATTTGAATTTTTAGATATATTTCTTCTCTTTTAAAATAAATAAAAGTTTGAATTATCTGTTGATCAAGAGTAAAACAAAAGCAATATCAAATTGAACACAATAATCCAGCGAAAATTGGTAAATTTTCAGCAAATTCTACAGACAAATAATGTTAAAATAATCGAAACGCAATAGTAACTACAGTGTCAAGAATTCTCTAGAGTGAGAAATAGAGCAAGTTGGGTGGAGCGAGAGAGAGAGAGACAGGCAAAAGCCATGGCGAAAAATCGATAACGAGCATACATATTATTGTCAGTTAGTCACTTAACAATAATCCACAAGAATTCTCATGATGAGGATGATGAAATGCCAGCCAGTTCACTTTTTGACGAGTATACTGAACAGAATTAGAAAATAATCAGTATTATAGTGAAAAATACCAACTAACCAGATTTGAATGTATGCATGTGTGTATGTGCGTGTCGGCTGTCTATGCATACATTGCAAGCTTGTGTGTTAGGGTGCACATAGGGAAAACTGATTTCTTTTCAGAGCAAAAAAGAAATGAATGCGAAATCATATAAATGTTTATGACAGGTTTAAACTGCTGTTTCGTTAAAGTGATTGATGATAATATGTGTCCTGAAAGAGCATACACGTTATAAAAATAAGTGGAATTGAAAATTTAAGTAACAAGGGGCTTTCTTTTAACATTCACTCACTTGCTAACTGGCACTTAATCCCCTTTTTCAGTTGGGAGTGTTTACTGTTATTTTTGGAAATATTTATTCTACTGAAAGAATGATAGTCTGTCCCTAGCTGATCCTCTCTTCAGAAAATGTAGGGTGGAAATTTATTTCAGAAGGAGGGTGTATGTATTTAAGTGGTGTATACGTATGTGTATGGGTTATTTGGGTAACTAAAGGAAATATCAACAAGTCTCTCAATTTGATTGGACTGCCAGTAGAAATGAATGAGCAAATGAAGACATTGTGGCTATACTAATACTACTACTGATAATAATAGTATTGCCTGAATTATAACCAAACGCTAAAACTTACCAATCATACTGATTACCTGGAGTTCATAAATGGGAATTACAGTAGACTGATAAAGTGATGATCAATTTTAGCCTTGAAATTATTTTAAATTTTTTCTTCCTGTATCATTATAGTATGAAACCGTTATCTAAAATAAAAAGATGTGAACGAATCACATAGGATAGAGAGTGGATGTGGAGAGAGATAGAAAACAGACCTAGAAAAACAAACTTTTACTAATGTTTCTAGCAAATAGATAGATTACGGGATAGAGTTATACCGTTGTAGAAAATGACCAATCACAGATTAAGCAAATGAATTCATACAATACGATTGGTGTTTGGATTGATTATTGTTTGCGCTATTTAATGAATTTTGTCTACATATGTATGTAAGCAACGAGACAGGGGGAAGAAGTAGATTAGTAGAAAGTGAAAATTATACCAACAAACAGTATGCATACATGCGCGCACATACTAAAGAAGATATGCAAATAATACGAATTTCTGTAACAGTAGGAAATGAGGTAGAAGAAACCAACTGATAAGAAAAACAAAAATTCATTTTTCCTTAAATTATAACTATCTTTTAACATTTGCTGTGCTAAAAAAGTAGTGCATGAACAAAAGAGACGCAGACAAGCATGTGCACATGTGTACACATACAAAACAAAAGGGCACACATCCAACTTTACCTGTAAAAACCTTCAATATGTGTGTGGCTGAATCCTTCAGACAACGGATAAGATATGGTAGATAAACCATAAATAATTCGCGACAAATTATATATATATATATATATATATATATATATATATATATATATATATATATATATATATATATATATATATATATATATTGATCTCATGGAGATATTTTTATCAAAACAGTTTAATTTCAAATAAATATTCTACGTTCAGTATTCAAAAATAAAATGTGGGTTTTGACAGCAAATTAACACTGAAAACAAAGGATTATTTCATAACTGTTTTTACCAATTTACAGATTCTTCAGGGATGTGAGCAAGGCGATCACAATCATCACAGCTATCTATAAACACGTTAATACGCAGACAGAGTTCAAGAAGTTTGGAGAAACAGCTATTCAGTGTCTTTGAGTTCATATTTGAAATTAATTAGTTTCCTTCTAATCTTTCAGTGCGACATATAAAGATCTAGTATATTAATAAAGACTTAAACTACTTTTAAATGAAGAGAATAGTCAAAATTTGATACTGATAGGATAACTACTTATAATTGTGGTATGCAAAAAAGAGCACCCAGTGTAATTTACGAATTCTCATTTCATCTTTATCTTGACCTAAGGCCTATGAACTTTAGATACAACCTTCTATACAATGTGTTCTACTTCAGTTAATTTGTAGTAGATTGATCACATTATAGCTAAGACTGCTACACACTGAATACTCAGTTTTATTTGCATTTCTTTTATAACGAAGAGTAATAGTTTCTAACTAGCTTAATTGTACAGTCACAATAGTTGGCAAAGACCAGTGTACATTAAACTCCAAGTACAGAATCAGCATTCTTTGTTCCTCTGTTAATCAATGAACATTCAGGTATACCTTAGTTTATTCCTAAGAGTTTACATCCTAAGAAATAATCAAATAAAGGACAACAGGGTAGCTTTCTTCATGAACCTACAGTGAACCACTAGTAAACAAAGGGCATCGAACGCCTGCTGCTTTCTAGTTTGGGATTCACCTAAGACCCTATGATGATAGATATGGAATAACTAAGATCAGTATTAACTCGGCTTCAATGTCACTTCAGGCATGAAGTATTTTATTCGGTCAACATTTTATGTCGAGGTTATACCTGATCAGCAGTTAGGCTTTCGGAGTATGTAGTTAAGATGGGAAGATATGTCATTTTATGGACAGTTGTTAATGCTTAATTTTTGTATAATTTTATTCATTATTTGAATTTCTCTTGTATATTTTCATTCCAGAATAATAAAATATAAGAACACACGTATTGCTGTCAGTGTGACAAGAAATCTAGTAGCATGAAGACACATCTCATTATATTTCTGCATGCACTGAAATACTGCTATTATGGGTTTTACATGTGTTCTAGTTTTCTAGTTATAACGATTTATCCACGTTTGAAACGCTCTACTCATTCCATAACAGTAATAATAATAGCTGCTTTATTTAAGAAATTACTGTAACATTTATAGTACAGAGTTCATGGCACATAACAATGTTTTAATTCATTTTGCCAGAAGATATTGGAAATCGTCTGTTTACAACCAGTTTTTATACAAAAGTACACTGATTTTGATGAAATAATTTTAAAATTATTGGAGATACTGTCATGTAAATTATGCAACAAACTTCCGTTTGACCCAGAATGTAACACAGAGCCTCTCAGTGTGCTGTCATTGATCCATGACGGTATGTAATATGACTCGAGGACATTATTCAGAAGTTCCATCTTTTCAAAGAAAATTTTCTGATAAAAGAAGTCAAACTCGTAAGTGTAGACTAAGATTTGAATATGGTAGTCCTATTTCACAGGAACCCAGAATAAGTCACTGACTTTTCTACCACTCGACAGCTTATTTCATTGAAAAATGCATATAGCATAGTAGACACTGATGCGTGTTATCCTTGTAAAAATTATTTTATTCTTATGACCACTTCAACTTTAGTTACAAATTATCATTGTCCAAATTGTTTTATTTTCTTTAACAATCTGTTACGTAATCAACCTGTGCGCACGCTTATTCCTTAATTGCTCTTCATTTTTCCAAAATTATGCATTATGCAATCCACATGTTGTAACCATTTCCACCTTTTAATTATATATATTAATTTTTCTTCGTTAATTATCACCCCATTGACATTTTGACACTGACTAATTATTGTTAACAAACATATCACCACTTGATTGGTAAACTGTTGTATATTGTAATTAAAATGCTATACGTGTATATTAGAGTAGAGCCAGAGATGAGGATCTAATTGAAAAGTAAATATTTCTTCGCTCAATCTTTCTCTTTTCGAAATATAAATGACTTGGTCCAGCGTAGAATTCGCAACTCTTGACTAGAACTGCGCAAATGAAACAGTGCATCCGGTGATTAATAACACGTGCTTCATACATATACAAGTTTGATGATATGAAGAAATCGAATCAGGCTAAGCACAGATGAGTGAAAGATGAAATTCAGCTGACATGGTTATTTGTATTTCTTTGGTTTCATTGTCCCTGGTTATCTTCTTATTTCTCTGATTTTCCCTTAGGCGAAATCCAATTCTTACAGTTGACTTAATTTACGTGACAAGGTCAACGTAAAGTTGTGCTAAAAAGTAGTTTATTTACAGATATAGGATGTGCAATGAAAAATTACGTAGTGTGTAATATCCTTAGTTTTCGGTAAATAAAATATTTTTCAGTTTGGAAAGAAATGTATCCTAGATATTTCAGTAGTAGCTCTTTCCTACGTTGAATAGAAAAGGTGGTTGGTTAATTGTTGAGATTTTGACACAACTTAACTCTGCCTTTGAATAGACGAATTCACTCAAAATTTCCAAACAAAAATATAAGCACAATGTACATCATATTCTTAGCTTCAGTGAAAGGAACACTGTCGTTCTCATTAATGGTTATTTATTATTAGTAGAATTCATATTAGTCAAGAATTAAAAACACCAGGTTGCAAGTGAACATTACTGTGATCACCTTATTGATTTATATGCATATCTGTCCTCAGGCAATCTTACCTATTGGTTATTTATGCTCTTTTTTAATTCGAACAACTTAGACCTCCTGATAACTTTTTTATATAATAATACTACTGAAAATTTGTAAGTAGCCTAAGTGAATTAGACAATTTAACCAGTGATTTCTCAACGAAAACAATTGCTTCAGGTTTATATTACACGAAGTGATACCCTAGAAATACGGGTGAATAACTGTTTATAACTTATTAGGAGAAATAGATTGAGTGATGTGTTGATGATCAGCAAGAATGATGAAATGATGATATAATATGCGTATACTGTCCTCCCACCTAAATATTCCTGTTTTACATGGACTAGAAAACAGTTAGCAAGCCAAATTAGGACAATGATTGAATTATCCCGAAATACTTAATACCTCAGGGTCGGTGCTATTAAGTCCGGATAGGTCCTTAAATTTCTAGGGGTCATACAAAAACAATAGAACGTAATATACCAGAATATCAAAAGGCCAGGTTCATTCTCCATACGTCTTCATTTTAACCAGTCTTCTTAAACAGTGATCATTATCCAGCGTTGACTGATTATGCAACCGCAGATTATTATTTTCATAGAATTGTTGCTCTACAACAAGTAATTATTACAAAGTCAGATATCAATGTGACGACTTAATAGTAACGATATCATCTTTAAATATGAAGTTAATTATCAAAAGCACGTAATTTAGATAAAAATGTTATCTTCTGGAATAACACTAATTACATGTTGGTTTATATTGGAGAACAAAGGAGAGACACTCTGTTTGAAACCATTTTTACTAGGTCTATCTAAAGATCAAATAATAAATAAATAATAATCCTTTTTGTTCAAAATGAAACATAGAGCTTCATTGGTTTCTTTCCATTACACATGGTCCACTCCCATTACTTTCGGACGGTTCTACAACTGTCCCCACACTTTTATTGTATCCTGATGTGATCTTCTGCATTTCGTTTTTGAACCTTCCATCCGTAAATTTCCTCTCGGGTTCTGCTCGAGGGGCTTATGCCTAACTAATCACTAGTTTTTACTGAATACTTGTTGGGAGGTAGGTGCTTGGCTGGTTCGCCACCACAGTCTCTTGTTGTTTATCTCTTTTTTTCTGGTCAACTGATCCTCACTATTGGGCGAAGGCATCTGCTGTTAAAAGTCTGCAGTCTTTTGGGAATGATTCTGATGACAATCCAATTCTATCAACCAATATAGAAACACGAACTTCATTATAGTGCTAAAAATTCGAATCGTGTTCTTTGTGCCTAGGGTGTACTTAAGACAACAACTAAATCAAAATTGGTATTCAAGTGTTGGTTTGTAGGGATTTGATTGGTTTCAGGATTTCATCATGAGCTGACATTAGTTAGTTCCAGTGAGAAGTCGTGACCAGTAGGGTGCAGCTGGTCGGGTGTGAGGACAAATACTCGCCGAAGATATTGGCTAGCGGTCGCG